AATATATTCTTTATACTGGAGTGGCAAATGTCTTTGTTAATAGGTCAGTTATCATCAAATTGGAACTAATGTGTTTAGTGGACACTTTTTGGCATTGGATTCTTTCCTTAACGCCAAGATAATCTAAATCGATATGTCTGGTTTTACTAAAACATTTTATTCTTCTTTGAGAAAAAACAACTACAAACTCATCATAGTATTTCTTAAGGGGCTTGGAAATGGCATCCACAATTTTAAAGTTAGAACTACAATTGCGTAACCAAGTAACTTGTAAAGTGGCCCCATGATATGAAGTAAACTCAACTTCAATTGTAAAAGGAATAGTAAGATTTTGCTTCTCCCTTTCTATGCTATAGTACTACAAGCTAGTAAAAAATCTACCCAGAAGTGGATTTCATACCATTGACACATCCGATAAATTAAGAGTTTAAATATCTCACAATTTCAATTGAATCACTACGTCTATAGGTGAGCATGTAATGTTTAGTTCCTTAATGATAGTGCACCACCATTTCAATAGTCTTCTAGTGATCCATCTTAGGATTCTCTTGTTATCTTCCAAGTATACTAGTTGCAAAACTATATTAATTTGCATGCAAATGTAAGCATACATTTAACTTCCAACAACAGATGCATAAAGAATCACAGACATCCTCTTCTTTTTAATATAATTTTTAGCATTAATTAATCACTTTTAGTGATGGGCGTTGGATTTGTTAAACAATTGTGCATATTAAAATTTTCAAGCACTTTATTGGTATAAACCTTTTGAAATAATCCAAGAATTCTTTTTGATCTATCTTAATAAATATCAATTCCAAGTAAGAAGGATGCATCACCTAAATTCTTCATTTTGAAATTATTTTTAAAAAAACCTTTTGTCTCATGCAATGATTGAGAATTGTTGCTTGCAAATTAAATATTATTCACATATAAAATTAAAATATATTATGGCCCCACCAACCTTCAAATATATGCAATTATTAACCTCATTTTCTTAAAATTCAAAGAATTAATGGTACTATAAAACTTGAAGTTTAATATCCTATGTTGCTTTTACATCTCTACAAAGCTTTGATTGAGAAATTCTTTTGCTCCATCCAAAATTTTGCTTCATCATTCTCTTCACATGGTTCACCAAACTGTAATAGAATCTCTATTACACCATTCTATGATGCTGTCAATCTCAATATCTCCAACTAGTGTGGGAAATTGGAAATTTCAAAATGAAGTCTCCAATGATTATCTATTACTATCATTGCCATCTTCAGTCAAATGGCGGACTTCCATTCCTCCACTATCAACTGTTGGTCGTGCATCAGTATATAGTAATGTTAAGATTTTCATTGTTAAAAATTTCCTTGGCAACAATGTAACTAGGATAAAAGATGGTATATCTTATGACCCCTCATAAGCAATGTTGATTTTCATCAACTATGGCTAGGATTGCTGCACGGGACTATTACCATATTTGATTAGCATTCGGGTATACACTAGCTATTCCACTAAGTCTAGCATGACACCTCCTATAACACCACTTGGGGGGCATGACCTCCAATTATTAATCTATGTTTCTTAATTTTGAAAACCAAACCATATAACATGGTCTTCATGGCATCATCACTATCAATCTTTAGGTGAACATCTTTAGTTCCATCTTGTAATAGAAAAATAGGAAATCTCCTTACCAACATCATGCTAGTTTGAAGGTAAATTTTTTCTATTAAGTCTATATTGTTTAATTATCCACCCTAATGACACATTGAGGAGGCCAATTATATGATCAATTATCATATAGTCTAATCATATATTCTTCTTTCTATTACTACTCTCTTACTATCCATTTGTAACATATATCTTTAACTCAACGTTAGAATCACCATAGATGTAACAAAAGAAATGTCTTAAATTATACTACTCACATTTTTCCCACTTTGTGATTTAAAGCGACAGTTATAGCTCACCTGAGCTAGAATGTATATAAAGTTTGTGAGATACAGTTGCAAGCAGGGTTCAAATTCACCCTAATCCCTTTGGGATGTGTTGCCCCACCCACTAATTTTGTTAACCAATCATGCATTTGCTTAGGCCTTGCCATAACAACTACCATGGTGAAGTACAATCTCAATGTCAAAAATGCAACTGGATTCACTTTGCTTAAGTTAGTGACTTCTCTTTCATTTGATTTCATTAGGTACTTGGTGCAGCCATAAGGATTAATATCATTCCCCATTTCTACACAAAGATCTCCACAATAGCTATAGACTTAAAAGCTCCTTGCACTTACAATAGTAACGTTAGGAGATTGTATCTCGATTATATGACATACCATTTGACTTTGAAACTCCACACTAGTGTTAGGATTCTACATGTAGGGGAAGAACCAAAAGATCATAGCTACTTTTGAAAGTTGTTAGACAATGTGATGCAGCTACTTTCAAGGGCAAGATCATGCATGCAGAGATGCTATCCATTGATAAGTTGAAAATGAATGAAGGAATAAAAAGATTAATCAACTAAAAAGACATTAGAAGTTCCACTTCTCAAGAGTCTAAGAGAATTATACCTATTTTGGCTCACTTTTAAACTCTAAAACTAACCACTTTGAGTGGCAGTTAGAAGTGGCAGTTAGAAGGTCACACACTTTTTACTTAGCCTTAATATCTAAATAGCCTTAGCACATAAATTTCTCACGCCCACTTAATATGGCTTTACTTATGGCACTCTACAAAAGACATGAAATTGAGCACACATAAAATAGTATAGTGGAAGCACAAAAGAATAACAAAAAAAGAAGTAAGGTGAATCGAGTAGAGCTCACCTTTATCAAATTCAAATTTCGGACGTGATTAAAAAGGGATAGTCAACCTCTATATACAATTGTAGAAGGTTGCCTTATACAAATAATTATATACCAGACAAAGTAAATAGATAATAAATAGTCAACTTTTATAATGATGATCCTATAGACAAGGACCATTGAAGAGCATGCAACCAATTAGAAAGGTAAGCATGCCGAGATGTGCAACGTTGGACTGAGGCATGCTAGCACACCCCTTATTGGGTCGCCATCCACTTCATGTCTTTTTTCACCTATTGCCCTTGTTTTCTTCTACCTAATTGTTGACTATCAGCAATTCTTACAATAGATAATACTCCTAGTATCCAACTTATTGCTTGATAAGCTGCCACGTTATCAATTGTGTTACTTTGCCGTGGCCCTCACTATGCACTATGTCACACCTAGTGACATTGATCCTTTGAATGCCACAATGCTCCTGCCCTCATTTAAACATCTCCAATTTTACTGCCTTTCATTCAAACTAACTGTTTCATTCAAACAAGTCTCCTTATTTGAACAAATGTCATTTTAACAGCTATCCACTCTTAGTTTGAATGGTTGGATGGACCGGCTATTTTGAAAGGTAGGCCATGACACTTTTCACCACTAGTTCTAATGTTGCTCTTTGCACTGGTATAATAATGTTCAATCTACCAACTAAACTACCATAGTGCTTCAACCAACTCCCAACTCATCTCATGGCCTAGAAGTCCCCTCCATTGGACCAAGTACTCCGTCCTTGGCCTACATCCTCTTTTTTGAATCTCATGTTTAGCCAACAACTCTCATTTGAACAGTTGTCTCCCTCTTGGGTTGGAACAGCCCAGTGAACAATAGTGGGGCATGGCACGTTATTAGATATGAGTATCTATACAATATTATATTATAATACATATAAATTAAATCCCTCAAACACGCAAAGGTGCCACTTGGGGAGGTATTACATTATCACGTTAAGAGGGAATAATTAATAAATATATATATATTTATTATGCATGTTGAAATAATATAATAAGAAAAATAATTATTCGCGATGTCCAAAAATATTTAAAGATTTCAAAGTTAGGATTTATGACTCTACGTTGAGAATCCAAATGAAATAAATAAATATCTTGAGTTAAACATTAATTATAAATAAATTATAGTAAATTATCCTTATGAGCTAGCTGATTTGATGTGTTTTTGTGATATATTCGATTTTTCTGCCCTAGTTTTTCAAAATAATAACTAAGAAAGAACCTGCACTAAAAACAAGTAAATCATATTGACATTCAGTTGAGTGAGTCCAAATGGAGAGGGCTTAAAATTATTATTATTATTATTGTTGTTGTTGTTGTTGGTCACATGCTTTAAATTATTTTAGACTATGAGCCTTATGCTTTAGTGCTTGAAAAAGGGGTCAAACCTGGGCCAAGTAAAACCTGCTGTTGTCCCTCTTCTCATTATTTGATGGGAGTCCTGAGAGGTTTAGATATACCCTTGAATAAAAGTAAAATAAAAAGTGTTATAGTAACTTGAAAATTACTAAAAAAATTATTTTGGATAAATTTAATATTTTATTTACAATTTATTTTCATAATATTTTTGCAAAGTTATTTTATTTAAATCCATTTTATCAAAATTCATTTTTCCTGAACTCGTTTTTTTTCCAAACTACTTATCCAAAATTTATTCAAACCTGCTATATATCAAAGGAAGCCAGCTCATAGTTTCAGGAAAATAAATAAAGTAGAACTCCAGTATAATATGAACTTAGCCATATTTGCCTCAAGAAGCATTTCACTTGCTAAGTGTTAAAAACAACAAAAGAAAAAGAGAAATAAATCTTATCTTCAAATAAAAGTATGGTGCTGAACACTGACATAAATTGGGTAGAGATTTTCCTTATAAGGAAAATTTTGACAAAAAAGATCCAGTAGTATAGAGCAACAGAAATCTCTTTGAGAGAGGAAAAAAAAAGAAAGGAATATTGAAAACAGAATTTCTAAACAGGATCCATGCAGCTTCCTCTCTCAGTACTATATGATTACTGTTACATTGATAGCAAGGATCAAAATAGCTACAGCTACTTCAAAAGGCTGAGTTCAAAATTTTATTTGACCTCCATGTAATGCTTTATCCTAACTATTTCAAAGTGTTTGTATCTTAATTTTATCCCTTAGCATGCACAACCTCCCCCTTCTTGCTCTGCCCTGGGTGTATTTACCGTAGGCTTTAAGTTCACATCGACCATGTCTTCCTGTTTTGTGGAGGAAAGACTTTCCATTCCAGGCAATGCAGTAGCAATCTTTCGGAATAAGGGCTGCATTGTATAAAATCGGTATGTCACATGTCAGAGGGAAAAAGAAAAAGCAAAAAGAATAAACAAAAAAAAAAAAAAAAAGAAAAGATGAAATCACTAGAGCAAGAAGGAAAAAATAGAGAGTAATCATTCAGATCCATAGGATATCATGATTAAAAGACAGACCCAATGATCATAACAAATTTAATGTTTCAATGCAGAAATGGTCTAGCAAAGAAAATTCTCTTGATAATGGAATCCCTACAGCATGAAATCATCATAGAAATCACTCCTAATGATTAGGGTTTCTCAGTAATGAAAATTTGGTTTATGTGCTCATTGCAAATTACTGTTTACAATACAACTCATCAGGCATATGTCAAAAGCCTTTAAATATGTATCCATCTTATGGAAAAAGCTCAGCCTGCACAATGTTTTCTTCTTTCTAATATGAAACATGTTTAAAAAAAAAAAAAAAAAAAAAGCAAGATTATTTGTTTCTTTAAAAGAAAATGCTTAAAGAATCCTTTAACCTTAATATTAAATCCTGCTTTTGCACTGGTTTCTATGAACATGACTCCAAACTCACGAGCCTTGCCATCACCTTCTTCAATTGACACTTGCCTGTTAGAGCACCACAGAAAGATCATCAGAATAATTGAAGAACTCTGATCTTCAGTCTTCTTAAATAGCAGATATGTATTGAACTCTTTTTGTGATAACAAAAAATTGGAAACTACTTGAAAAACATTTGAAATTCAGACAACCGTGAATCTTGTAATGGGCCTTCATTCTTTTGGTATGAGAAATATGTTTGTGAGGAAGCTAGATGAACAAAACATAGTTCCATATTTGAAAAACTGCAAAGCAAGCTGGGTAGACTGCAAAGGTTTAATCTATTACAAAGAGTCAGAGGACATGTCGTCTTGATGCTGCTTTCTGTATATGGAAAAGGAAACATCTCTTGCATGTGTACCCTAGTCACGAATGACTTGCTAAACAAGAAATATGTAATACATCACTGTGCTCACCTTTTATCAACAAGATCAGTTTTATTGGCAACAAGAACAATAATGACATCACTGCCTCTCTCTGTCCGTACTTCTTCTATCCACCTTGAAGTGTTCAGAAAAGATTGCCGATCTGCATGGTGATAGTTTGACAATTTAGCAAGACAACCACAGCCTCTAAATTTGGGTGCACAACAATATTGAAATAGAAGTATTAATTAGGTTGGGCTGATTATTTCTATGTTTTTTGTCTATGAAGGGGAAAAAAAAAGGAAAAGAATAGGATAATGAAGTGGGAATATTAGGGACAAGAATAATGGGAGCAAATGATTGCTGTTGAACAAAATTTAAGCAGAAATTTAATGTTTTTAGAAATTTTTATAAATTTCAGCAACTAGGGCCAAGTTTTTGAAAGTTGCAAATACCTTACCAGATAAACGTAAACAGAATCTTCGAAAATATAAACAAAAAAGAAAACCTGTCAACGTCTTAGTAAATAAATGTGAATATTCAAGGCTGTACCAAACAATACTCATGCATTACATGAAATTTATTAAATGCATGTATGTGATCCCACACCTGTGTTACCAGAAAAAGCTATTACTCTAGCAAGGAAGTTCTCATCTGCATCTTAAAAAACATGCAATATTTCCTTTCCAAAACAGTAAATTTAGGGATTCAAAGCAATTCTGCAGTATCAACCTTTTATTCCTTAAATGTTTTTGTTAAGACAAAATACTCTAATATAACAACAAAAATCTCAGGAAATCAAAGTTTTGATTATACGAAATCTATACATTAGGCCAGATTTTTACTGAAATGCATATTGATATGATTATTTTAACCAACATAACTGTGTATGTTTATCATATACTAGTTATCAAAAGAACCAAATACATCATTTGTTGAATTGTTTTATGCTCCAAATAGGAATAACTATTGAAGTTTATAGAATTTTTTTTTTTAAAAATATTGTACACATACTTACAAATGGTCCTTTTCTTTCAAGGGAGTGCTACTGCTAGTAGTTTTTTCTTATATTTTCCTTTGAGTCAAATGAAGATTCATGTTATGTAACACTAATTTATCAAGTGTGAACTAGAATAACAAAATTGACACAGATTCATATCAAGTTACACCAAATTAAGTTCTGTCTATGTGAAATATTATACCTACTTTTAAATATTACATTTTCTATAGCAACCTATCCTTTTTTTTTATATATATTTTTTAACATGTAGAATATCACATTCCTAATCCCATTCGACATACAAAAACTATCTGCATGCCTAGTAATGTATGTTTAGGCTATCAACAAATATGCGTGCTGTCATGATCAATATCCAAGCATATCTTATGATATCCACTTAAATTAAGCCTCTATGAACAAGAACCAAGCCACGCAAAAATCAGCTTTCCTTTCCTTTCCTTTCCTTTGTTCAAGAATGCAAGTGCATATTGGGATGAAAATTCACAATAATAAGAAACAGAGGAAAACATAACAGAAGAAGAGAAGAAACAGAAAGAGAAGCAAAATCTTGTAAACTGAATTGATTAGCTTTTTCTGTACATTAGCTTCTAGAGATAGCAGGATGATTAGTTACAACTGATTTAACAACTAACTCTCTCTTGGTTATAAAAGCTATAACTACTAGCTAACTACTATAAGAACTTCCAGTTTGTTTCAACACACAATATCTAAAAGAATTTAAGAAAATGACCATTAAGTCAAACAACAACTTACTAGCGATGTCATATACGACCACTGCAACAGAAGAATCCCTGATGTAGCTAGGAATAAGACTCCTAAATCTCTCTTGTCCGGCAGTGTCCCTGTAATGTTAGAATATTCAATTTACATGACAAAATAAGATCCAAAAGAATATGCTGCATGCACTCAATCTCCAAAGCCTAGCACAACTGATGGTATCGAAGTGGATTAATGTAAGTTCAAACTGGTTCATGTTTGAATATATTCAGTAATATTTAAAAGCAGTAAAAAAAGGGTAAATAAAGAATGTCTAATTTTTAATATGTTGAAATACACAAGGCACATCAATTTTTCACTTCCACTTTGTAATTAGGACCCCTCATATTTCTACTGTAAAAACTTTTCCATATCAATATACACAATTACATATAATAGGGTACATTAACTACAGAAAAAGGCAGATAGTACATCTTGCTCACATGGAATACATAAAAACAAGGAAAAAGGGCATCTTACCAAAGCTGCAAGCGTACTGTTCGATCTTCAAGATACATGGTTTTTGACAGGAAATCAATACCAATTGTAGCCTGCATTCCCACCAAGCAGAAGTTAGCAAAAGCTCTAAGCTTGAAGAAATGAAAAATTTAGTAAAACCATGTTGTGGAATCTCCATGAGGGTGATAAAGGAATGGGTTGTAGTGAGTGATATAGCTTTTGTTGATTATGGAGTTTCATCTCACCAATGAAAATTCATTGTAATGGCCGAAAAATCGGATTCATCACTACAAATTCCTGCTATATTTCCCCAGTCTTCATTGCTAATTCCTACAGTTCCATTTGATGGCTTCAAAAATCGTTAAACAAATGCTCAACTCAATCTTTATGATTGCTTCTCTATTTGGCTTCAATTTACAACTACATAATTCATAGGTCCTCTTTTTTTATGAAATAAACAAATGTATCTCTTCTCCGTTTTGCTTCCTGTTTCAATTATTTCAGTTGCCCTTATTTTTCCTAAAAATTGACTTATTCCAGATACTCAATCCTTGGCACAGATAAGCATCAGTTCCTGAACTTAATTTCATTTATATATCCATCACTCTTGGTTCAAGAGTGTCATTGTCACTACTGAATTTCGGAAACCTGAACGCTATTTCCTGGCAAACATAAAAAGAACTGAATATGGGAGAAAGAATGTGATACTAAGATTTAAATGTTTATTGTAAGGATTTCTGAATTTATATTCAAAAGAAGTAAATCACTTGAAATGTTATATACTATGTCCCATTGGGAACGAAATTGTACGTGCATATACCATGTTAATCGTTAGGAATTACTTTTATTCACTATTTATCGTAGAGATCTCCATATAACAGTCTTCCTTCCAAACCAAAATCTTTAAAATCAAGCATCGAGACGTATCATAACCAGATTTGTACAAAGATAATTGATCTAGTAAACTTATTGATATCATTGCTAAGATTCAGCAACAAGCCCTAGTTGTTAAATATAAATGACAGGTTTAATTCAACTTGATCGAAAGCTAGATCAAAGTACTGATACCGATGGACGAAGAGAATTATGTGAAAATGGTCGCGACGGCGATAACAAACAAACAAACAACGTAGATTACCTGGTAAGTAGAGTCGAACTTGTCGTACATGAAGCGAGTGATGATACTGGTCTTGCCAACGGATTGATCGCCGAGGAACACCAACTTGTATTTGGCCAGAGGCGACACAACCGCCATAGGGTTGAGTTATCACTTTCTCTTCGTTTAAGAAGAACGGATCTGAAACTAATTTCTCAAACGTAGAGAGAGAGCCAATTCCAGAGAGATGGAGACTGAGATCCGGCGAAGAACCTGACCGTGAACGCGGTTTTCATTTCAATTAATTTTTATATATAGCTTGGGAGAATAAACCGCCAACCACTTGCCCAAGACTGCTGATTAAACTGGGACTGAAGTTCTCGCAATGGCGTCTACGTCCTCGGCAAAAAAAAATGTTTCTGTTCTGTTTTGTTTTCTAAATCTAATATATGAAATTCTTATTTACTGTTTGGGAATGCAGCATTAAATGGAATTAAGTGAAATTTAAATTTGAGAATTTCATTTTGATTGTTTGAATAAAAAAATCAAAAATTAAATTTGGATTATATAGAATTTGACAGGATTTTATTTAACGTGCCAAAAAGTTTATAGTTTCTTTTATGAATTTTGAATTTGAAGAAATTTATTTTAAGAAATTTTAATTTATTTTTTAAAACTTTTATCCCTCTCATTAGAATTCTTTTGCTAACTGAATTTTATCATTATATCCTCCTTCAACTCTACGATATTTTAGGGGTGTTGAAAATTGCACCGGACCAATTGGATCGATCCAATCCGAACCAAACCAACCAAAAATCGAATAGAAACCGAAGAGAATCGGTTTAATTCAGTTTTGAAAGTATTTAAAAAGATCAGTTCGGTTCGGTTCGGTTTTGATTTTGGCTTGAACCCAAATCGAACCGATTATTTATTAATACAAATATATATTACATAGATATATAAAAGAAAAAGTAAAACTCAACATCACACTACATCTGTCAAGCGCTCCCCCTCTCCGCCGATGCCCTCATCCAGCGTAAATCAAATCCACCGCTCGATCTCCGCCGCTCTCTATCGGAGCTCCTCAACCTCTCCGCTCTCTCACTCCCTGTCCTGTTCTCTAAGTCTAGCTTCCCCGTCAAGATCAATCTCTTTCACTTTCGTGTTAGGATCACTCATCGTCCTCTACTCTTTTTAAGCCTAATCTACCACCCAATCTCCATAATCGTCTTCCTTATCACTCTAGTCGCCTGGATCTTCCTCTATTTCACTCGGGATGAGCCCTTGACAGTCTTTGATTGCTCGGTCAACGAGCGTGTGGTCGAACGTCATCATTTCATTGGTGATTTCGGGCGTGGTGATCCTTTTACATGCTGCTTTGAGGGCTCTTGATGATGTTGATGACTAGGAATTGCTGTATGGTGCGTTGCTTTTGGTTGTGGACAGTCCAATTCTAGACTTGTCTAATTCCAATTAGCTTATTAATATAATTTGTGTTTTCATATATAGAAGTTAGTTTGATTAGTGATTCTTGATTCACAATAGATATTGTGTGTACATTGTGTTAGCTTGTATGGGAGACTGATTGATTATATCAGAATTCTAGGACTAGATACTTATTGTCCATCTGATTAGCTTCCAATGGTCTGGTTATAGCTTGAATGGTAACTTAATCATTTGAACATAGTTTCAAAAACCGAACCAAACTTGTCAGGTCAACCAAACTAAAATCGATTTATGTCGGTTTGGTTTGGTTCGATTTTTTTGAAGGGACAAAACTGATCATGTCAAAAAATGTTTAGAATATGCATGTTCGGTTCGGTTTGGAAAAGGTGCAAAACCGAACCGAACCAAACCAAACCTTTGAACACCCCTACCATATTTTATTCTCTCCCTACTACATAACAATTGAATGCTTGCAGAGATGCCCAAGTGAAAAGTATGTTGAATGGTTGTCTTGGAAAATGAACAAATTTTCATTGGAATAAATATTATTTATCTTGTCCAAATTCTAATAAGTTTATCTCATTTTAGTATGTGCTGACATTAAGAAATTCTTAATTTATTTTTCTTTATGATTATATTTGAATAATTATTTAACTATATTTAAATATTTTTAATACATTTTGTATTTAAATTTATTCAATCATACTTTTTTTCCTCTATTTACTCATAATTGTTACTCAATAATAGTTAAATCTTTGTGAAATGTTTCAAAATTTTATAGTTCTGTGAATATTGTAAATTCTATTCTTCTCATTTTTTAAAGGGGAGAACTTTTTTGTTAGAAAATAATAGGAATAATTTTTTTCATAATTTATTAAGAAAGAACGGTATGATAGTAAAAATTCTATTTCTAATTTCAAATATTATTTCTTTACAAATAGCAAATAAAATTTATAAATACCAAATTTTATTTTATACTAAACACTAAAATGATTTCGATTTCCAATTCCAAATCTTATTCCTTTTTCCTTGCCAAACACAGTGTTAGATTTATAATTGGCGATAATTTCCTTATTTGGGTGACATGGTAATCTTGCCTTTGTAATAGTTCATAAGTAAATAATCCTCACTTTTTAATTGATAAATAATGAAAATAGTTTCTAAAACAGTCACAAGTAGAATTCCTAAACTTTCAACCTTTGTATATAACATTAACTAATAAACTACTGAACCAAAATTCCAGTTGACATCTGGTATATATTATTCTTTTGTATTACCCTTAATTATAAAACTACAACCATTCATGTTTATTCAACTTATCAAATTGAGTATTATTTTTATGATTTAAAAATCTTAAAACTTTGTAAAAAAAATTCTATTGATATTAGTGTAAGTGTAAAACATTTATATTAAATCTTATATAATTGATTTAGTCAAAATTAATTGATGCGATTAAATACAGTTATCTTTCAGTATATTAATTTATAGATATTTTTTTAAAAATATTAATTAATCTTATCTATTAATTTTGATCAAATTAATTGTGTAAAATTTGGTGTAAATATTTTTTACATTTACAGTAGTATCAATTTATCCCTTCTCTATATTTTAACTTTAGCGTGTGAACATCCTTCCAATTTGGTATTAGTATCTATTGTTTTATTTGTCTTAAAAAGTATTATTTTAGGAAAAATTTCCGATAATGATGACTTGGTAATTTTAATTATTTAGAGGTCAAAATATAAAATATTTTCTTTTAATGTTAGACAAAAAAAATTGTCAATTAAGTACATTTATATTTCTAAACTAGTCCTATTACTAAAATCGTTACAAACATAAATATGTATAATTATGACATGAATCTGTATGATTACAAATATATATATATATATATGTTTGTAATCATACAGATTCATTTTTATAATTATATAATTTATACTTGTAATAGTTGTACTACAATAATTTTTTTGATATTGTAAATATCTTTAACTGACATTTTTTCTTCCTGATCTTGAGTAAAAATACTTTACATATTGATTATTCAGATAATTGCTTTTATCAAGCTGTTTGACTCTGTAATTGTTTAATATTTTATAAATAAATGAACAAAAAGTCTAGTTTTATTCGATGTTCTTCCTTTCATCTTTTGAAATTATACATCTAAAAAGTTAGAGATGCAAAACAAATATAATAAAATTTGTAATTTTCTTGTCATTATGGAAAACTTGATTTCTTATCTCTAAGAGGCAAAAATATTAAGAAATTATTATTTAAATTACATAAACACGTATGAGCTAGGGTATACTACATATTATAAAATGTCGTCCCATAATAATGGTTTATATTGATTGTACGTTTTTAGAAGATGCAATTAAAAAACAAATGACGATAAAAGCTCGAGATAGTAAAATATTTCCATTTAAATAAAACAAGGTGTACTTTTGTGTTAAATTAAATGACATTTTTAAATGATGGAAAAAAGTAAGTAAAATAGTGATTTCGTTGTATTTATATTTATATGTATATTTTTCTCTCTATTTTCTCGATAGAATTATTACACACTTTTCTTAACTCTAGTAAAAGCTGATCAGTAATCGTGGAAAATATTCAAAGAAAGTTAAAATATCCAGAGAGCGTGATATTTTTGGCTATATTTGATTTTGCAGAAAATGTGAGTAGTATTTCCTTGACATAGATATTAAACATATTCCCGTCTATGCTACAATCATCGGTAGCTGAACAATTGCTTGATTTCCAACTTTGAAGCTCTCATTTTGCCTTTTGCATTTTTAGAGTTTTTCATCACTCTCTCTCTCTCTCTCTCTCTCTCTCACACACACACACACACACACACACACACTCAATCTCAGTTCTAACCATTACCTTCTACCAGAGAAGGTTCTTCTTAATCCGAAGCCAACTTCAATATTATTAAAGATTCATAAAAATAATCATTCACTATTAGAAACAGCTGCCGAGAGTTAAAGAGCAATGAAGAAGAAACAGAAATTAATGTGCACTTGGGTTGATGCAGGCTGACCCTGAACCAATTTCACAACTTTTGTCGGTTTGAAGTGTAATTTCATTTCCATCCAACTATAGGACTTTTAGTCCAAAACCAAGACGCCGGATAGAAAAATGGGTCAACTATTTGACCTCGATTCAATGCATGGTTCAGCTTTATTGAACAATAACAAGGAGCTTAATATAAAATATAATAATTGGAATTCAAAATTTTAATGTCTGTCTCCCACTTGGGTTTTAAACGAATCCAAACTCTTGGACCAACCCAATAAAGCTTCTAAATGGATTCACTCAATCCATTAACTAAACTATTCATCCAATTGTTGAACAAACTTTACCGAATGAAGTGAGATTTATTGCCTTTTATGCGTGACACTTATGTTCACCAACTAGCTTGCTATGGGCTCACATTACTATGGCATTTGACTAAATTAGCTACTCTAGTTGATTAAACTCCTTCAATCAACAATTCTTGATTTAATTTGCACTAAATCAAGGATAGCCACAGTTAAGGCTGACATCTAACAATGAACCCCCAAACCCTTAGTCATAGATGAAGGTAATCTAGGTGAACCAAAAATCATGTAATGTTTACCATGCATATATAGTCATTCTATTAGTATCTCCCAATTAGGGCCTAGAATGTATTACTTTGTTGGTATCTCTTCGATCCTAACTTTATGTCTCTA